CATGCGTGCGTGTCACATGTGTGCTGATGCCCTTGGAAGCTACAAGAGGGCATTGGATTCCCTGGCGCTGAAGTTACATTTGGTTGTGAGCCACTTGATATGGATGCTGGGAACCAAAGTTGGATCCTCTGAAAGAGCAGCCAAATGTTCTTAATTGCTGAGCCAGTTCCAAGCATGAGAAAGATTTGGAGGAGGTAAGAGTGGATGGGGGGCATGAGGAGGTCCCACTGAAGGATGCTGCTTGAGCAAAACCAGAACCAGCTGGGTACAGTGCTATAAGCTTTTAGTATTAGCATTCAGGAGGCAGACACAGGTGGAGCTCTGTAAGTTCAAGGCCAGTCTGGTCTACATAGCAAGTTCTAGGCCAGTCACAGACACACATAGTAAGACCCTGTCTCAAAAGAAAAAAAAAAAAAAAAAAAAACACAAATCAGGAAAGCTGAGTCCAATTCAGGAAACCTGACACATAGGGAGGAAACAGATGAAAAGTGAAAATTATAAATGGGGTCCAGTGTAAACATCCTTGAATGCCGGGTAAGAGAGGGTTTGCCCTCCTAAGTTACCACTGGTAGATGATGAGCTTGGAAAGTGGAGCCATCAAACCAGACTCTCCAGAGCCTTTAGGAAACCTTTCCATATTTTGTTTGTTTAGCGGCAAGTCTCAAATTCACTATGTAGTCAAGGATAACCTTGAACTTCTGATACTCCTGCCTCTACCTCCCTAGTGCTGGGATCACAGGCATGTGTCATCACGCTCAGTTTACACTGGTGCTGTGGATCACGTGCAGAGCTTTGGGCGTGCTAGCCAAGCACTCTACCAACTGAGCTACATCCCTGGCTTTGTTTTCTTTTTTGATTGTGTGTGTGTGTGTGTGTGTGTGTGTGTGTGTGTGTGTGCCATAGCACACACTGGAGGTTGGAGGACAACTTGCAAGAGTTGGTTCTCTCCTTCCACCATGTGGGTCTTGGGGATGAAACTCAGGTTGTCAGGCTTGGAGGTGAGTGCCTTTACCCACTAGGCATCTCTCTGGCCCTCCATGCTTTTATTATTACTATTATTATTATGTGTGCCGTGTGTATATATGGGTGCACATGTGCCACAGGGTAAGTGTGAACAGTCAGAGGACAATTTGTAGTTGGTTCTTTCCTTCCACTATGTGGGTCCTGAGGATTCAACTCAGGTTGTCAGGCTTGGCAGCAAGTGCATTTACCCCCAGAGCTATCTCACTAGCCCTGTCTGCTTGTTCCTGTGCCAGGGTCTCACCATCTTAGTCAAGCTTCCTGTGAACTCTGAGATTCATGCGATGCCCTCACCTCAGACTCCTAAGCAGCTGGAACCACAAATGTGCTCCACCACACTCAGCCCCAGGTTTTTCTTCTTTCCTTCCTTCCCTTTCTTTTTTAATTTTCTCTGAGACAGGATCTCCCTGTAGCCCCAGCTAGCCTGGAACTCATTATATAGACCAGGCTGGCCTCAAACTTACAGATATCCACCTGCCTCTGCCTCCCAAGTGCTTGGACTTAAAGGTGTATACTACCATGGCTGGTCAGATTTTTTTTAATCATGCTTTTCCACATCTGTCTCTTTATTCACACCATTTTTTTTTCTCCAGAAATGCCTCCCTGCAGGCCCACCACCAGTACACTGGAACCCAGCTCTAGAGTCCCAGCACAAAGTTCACTTCCTCCAAGAAGCCTTTCTTGCCTCCCCTACAGTGACTACTCCTTCAGTGTGTGCCCATGGCACCTGGTTCGTGACTGCTATGTCTACTTTATATATCAACATTGTCTGCCTATCTGTCTGCTCATAAGTCTGTAATTTCCCTTGAGCCTGAGATTCTCCCCCTTATCTCTAGATTCTTATACCATGCACAGGTGAACAGGTGGGAGGAAGGCAGAGAGAAGGAAAGGAGGCCCCAGTTCTGGTCTAAGACGCTGGAAAGTGGACCCAGTGGCATGGCCTCCCAGTATACATCTGCCCCTTATGACCTAGCACCTGCTGACCAAGTCCCCAGCTTCGTACTCACTTTGAGCAGAAAGGACATAAGCTACTTTGGCTACCTCCTGTTGCTAGTAACTTCTAGCACCTCATTAACTCAGATGGCCTATCTCTTCCCAGAGGTGTGAGCTGGATGGGACTCAAGGTTCAAGTGCATCTTCTGGACATTCCTGCCTGGTGAGGTCCTATGCCAACCTCACAAGGCACATACACACACCCCAACCCCAAAAAGCTACCTTCAGGACAGAGCCATTTGATCCTCAGAAAGAAAGACACCTTCCCATCAGCTATGGGGTCAAGCTGGGGACCTGATTAAGAGCACCTGCTAAGGAAGAACCTGAGGCATGAAGACGGGACATGGTCCACACTATAGGTGTGAGGAAATTCTAGGGATGCCAGGAAGAAAGCCAAGTATCCAGGAGGTCCCCTTTGCCCAGATCAGATGACAGCCAAGCCTCCAACCTCCCAATCTTCAGCTGAACACAGTCCTCTCAGCCCCTGTGGAGTCTGCCCTCCACAATGCAGAAGAGCTTGTGGAAGGAAGAGGTTATACGAAGGACAGTCGGACAGGGCCAGAATAGAAAGAATGCAAGAGAGCCCGAGAGTCCTCCTGCCACACATCTGCAGCTGGCCACACCTCTGCCTTTAGACTCCAGCTGTATCTGGGAACCTCTCCTCCCAGGGAAGCTGAAGACAGGCCCTAGGGCACTGGTAGGTGGAGGTGAGACCTCAGCCTTGAGGGAAGTAGAAAGGGTTAACTCTCTCTAGGTTTATGCACTGGGTTCACTAGCTCACCCCAGGGCGCTGTAAGTCCAGGCTTGTGTCTGGTGCCCTCTCAATTTCAATGTCCCTCTTACTCCTCCTTCCACCTCCATCTGGGAGACAGTGGGAGGAGAAGCTAGGCACTCTTGGCACCAACTGTCTCTGGGGTGTCATTTAACACAGCCAGTAATCACCACCAACTGGTTCATTAACTCTCCCTCGGCTACTCTTGTCATCCCTAGATATGTCCTCTCTTCCTTCTGTTCTTTCTCTTCCTCCTCTTCCTCCTTGTCCTCCCCCTCCTTCCTTCCTTCCTTCCCCCCACCCACACACACACTGAATACTGGGAATAGGCAAACACTGGTTTCCTGGCACCCCAGCTCTTGTCCCATTCAAGACCCTCCCCACCAAACTGGTCCTTCAGATCAACTTGGAGCAGGAGGCAGAATGGAGGCAAACAAAGGACTCATCTGCAACACAGAACCAGCACAATACTGCCATCAGAAAAAGAACACTAGCCAGGCGTGATTGTGTACACCTTTAATCCCAATACTTGAGAGGCAGAGGCAGATGGATTTCTGTGAGTTCAAATCTAAGACTGGGGACAGGAACACAAATTAAAAAGCAATCAATGGTGAAGATATCTATCCAAACTGAATAGAGCCATGGGAGCCAGTGGGAACTAAAACATCGTGATCATTTTTGTACTAAATATGAAAGAGTCTCTTTTCCCTGTTGGCCCAGGAAAATGCACTCTGAACCGGTTTTGTGAACTTCAGGATGCTCTGTGATGTAAGAGGCATCTTGGTCACTGTCCCATCAGTTGGCAGAAGGTGAATCACAAAGTAGGCCTCAAACCTGCTTGTCCCCACTACAGGATCTTCAACTTTAGGATCACATATCCATAGGACACCTCTAATGTCAAACACTTACAGTTTCCCTCAGACCAGGCAGCATGACTTGGTGTTCTAGTTTGTTTCTCCATTGCTGTGACAAAATACTCTAACCAATACCAACTTGGGGAGAAAAGGGTTTATTTTATCTTACATCTCCCAGGTCACAGTTCATCAGGAAGCCCAAGTAGGAACTCAGGGCAGGAACCTGGAGGCAGAAGCTGGAGCACAGGCCATGGAACACTGCTTACTGGCTTGCTCCCCTGGCCCCTGCTCAGCTTGCTTTCTTATGCAACAAGGGCCCACCTGCCCAGGGGTGGCACCACCCACAGTGGGCTGGGCTCTCCTACATCACTCAACAATCAAGAAGATACCCCGTGGACATGGCCACAGGCCAGTCCTATGGAAGCAATTCCCCAATTGAGGCTCCCTCAACTCAGGTGTGTCAAGTTGACACTAAAGCTATCCAGCACACTTGGGGATGTAAAAAGTCCTTTCACATAATGTCCAGTCAGTGCCAGTCCTTTAGCAGTGTAACTTGCAGAGCAGCTGCAGGTTGGGTAGTCCCTAGGAAGGCTGGAGTGGCCTCTGTGCAGTGAAGAGGGAGGGTGCCCCATCTGGTGTTCCACACACACACCAGGCAAGGCTTATAAGGGGACAAGTGTTGAGTCCAGCTGGGCTCAGCCCGACTCCTGGCTCCTCCCTGCCTCAAACTCAAAGTCCACAGAACCTTCCATCTGGTTGCCAGGGCAGGTCAGCAGGCCACTGGAGATAAGGGCCACACTTTGGACTCCACAACCAGAGGACAGCGAGGGTGCAGGAGATCCCTGAGCCTACGCCCTTCCTGCTGCCAAGACAGCTCCCCTAGCCGGTTAACGGTCTAAGACAGAAGGGAGGGTACCTGCCACATGTCACAGGAGCATTACCCTCGCCGCCGCCTCCCAGCTGGCACCCAACCTCTCATTTACCCCCGCATTACCCTAGCGCCTCGCAGGGGTCTGGCCACGAAGGGAGGGCCCGCGGGTGGCCCACGAGTGGCACGAGGTTCAGCCCTTCTGTCCCAGCCAGGTGAAAGATGGCTGGCTAGTTCAGGGGCGAAGGAAAAGGGGAAGGCGCTCACTACGAAGTAAGCGCTTGGGGCCAGGCGTGGTGGTTGTGGCCCGAGCCCGCTCGGTGTCCTCCCTGCCAGGGTGACCGTCGCGCTGCGAGGCCCACGGGGAGGGGGCGGTGCCAGGCTGCGCCCCGCCCCTCAGTCTCCACCTTCCCCCTCCCTGCCCGGCCCCGCGCTACCCGGTACCGCGGGCCGCTCGGTCCCAGTCCCAGGCTGGGCAGCAGGGCTGCCATCGCCGAGGCTGTTGACAACGGGCCGCCGGAGCCCCGCGGACCGGGCCGGGCAACGAAGGCAGCTGGCACCGAGACACCTGTGCGCACAGGTGAGCGCTGGACGGGCGAGGGGCGGGGCGCGCAGGGGACAGCCAGCTGGGAACGGGGTCGCTGGGTGGCGGGGGCAGGGTAAGAGGGAGGGAGGAAAGCGGGGGCTGGAAAGGGATGGGGGTGGAGGTGACCGTGGGGAGGGCAAGGTGGAAGGGGAGAGAGAGACAAAACCTCAGAGTGAGAGCTATTAGCCGGGGGCTAGAGACGTAATGAACAGCGTCCTCTGCTCATAAATCAAGGAAGTAAGGGGAGGGGCCTCAGGCTCACCTGGTGGGAGACCAGCACCTGTTTTTAAGCCCACCTCCCCTTAAAAGGCCTCTCCCCTCCAAGGCCCTGCCTACTAGAAAGGGTGGGTCTTCCACCCAGGTTTAGGAAAGGGGAGAGAGTTCCCTGGTTTACAGCTCCAGAGTGGAGCCCCCAGAGACTGGGCAGAACTAAATTTAGTGGGAAACCCAGAACTGCTTTTGCTGGGCTGATCTCAAAAGACCCTACCTGACAGCTGTCCCTACCTCACTGACGTGTGTGGCCAGGAGTGTCTAAGTAAGGGGCGTGCAGATTTCCCAGTAAAGGGAACAGAAAATACATATTGTAGACTCGTGGCCTGTTGTGCTCCATTGCAACTAGAAGTTATGTAATCGGTGTGAATCTCGAGTGATTGACACTCCTCCAACATTATTTTTCTTTTTTACTTTTTTCAACTATTTAAAAACATCAAAATTGTCAAATATGATGGAACATACCTGTGATCACAGAATGCCAGAAGTTGAGGCAGGGGAATCCAGGGTTGGGACCAACTTAGGCTGGGTTATATGGCCTGGGCTACATAATGAGACCCTGTCTCATCAAAACAAAATCAAAACAGGAGCAAAAATAAAACCCATCCTTAACCCATAGGCTGTTCCTACATGAATGACCCACTTGATAGTCTCTAACCAGCTCTGCCTCTCCCCAACCAGAGCTTCCCCGGAGTTTGATCCAGGCTAGTACAGGAAAGGGGGCATGTGTCTAGGTATATGTGGAAACCTTACTAACTGGGGATATCCAGAGCTCCAGAGATTTTCTGTGACCTTTGCTTCCAGCTACTCTTAAAACTACAGCATCCAGGCCGGGCGTGGTGATGCACGCCTTTAATCCCAGTACTTGGGAGCAGAGGCAGGTGGATCTCTCTGAGTTCAAGGCCAGCCTGGTCTACATAGTGAGTTCTACGACAGCTGGCGCTACAGGGAGACCCTGTCTCAAAAAGACCAAAAAAAAAACCTACAGCATCCTTTGAAGTCAGTATGGGAACATTACCCAAATTTGAGGCAGAAGAGCCTACCCAGCATACACCTGGATCTATTCTACCCTGACAAAGTTATAGATAAGACACCCATGCCTCTCACCCAAGTGATTATACCTTTGGCCTCTCCTTCCCCACTCCATCTTCTTGTCCCCCTTTTTTGTTCTCCAACATGTTGCTACCACTAATCCAGCCTGGCCTTTCAGTCTTACAGAAAAAGGGATGATCCCTTTCTCTTGGACATTGGAGCTATGAACCTTTGGAGGTAACTCAAGAGAAGAGATGCAGACCTTTGGTCCTCCAAATGAGGGCCCACTTCAAGGTCTGGTTGCTTCCCGAATTGAAGCTTATGGGGGTCGTCATCGGACTTCTGCCCAGAGCACTGTTGGGACTCTCTATCCCCGAGGAGGCCTGGTGTTGGTGAGTCCAGGCTGTGCCCAGAAGGTGATCTGGGTGGAGCAGGAGGGAGGACACCCAGGCTTTGAAGTCTGTCCCCTTACAGTTTCATAGGCTGCTTCTATTCTTGTCCCTTACCCTCCTCTGCTTTCCGGGGCTGCAGGGGAGAGGAGGGCAGTGCCCAGGCCAGGATCCCAGGACTTTCACACCCAGCCCCAGACAGTAGGGTGGGAGAGGCAGAGAGCCCTGAGAAACCACGCCCACAGCTGTGGGAAAAGGCACCTCGGAGTCTTGGAGGAGTTGGCATCAAGGGCTCGCTGAGACGTGCTAAGTCCAGACTGAAGAAGAGCAAAGGTTCAGAGCGTCACCATTCTACCCACCCAGAAGTCGAGAAGTGCCTTGGACCTGCCTCTGGCTCTACCTGCCTGACCCACCTCCAAGCCTGGTGGAGGAAAGGGGTGTGGAAGCCAGGGCTTTGGTTGTCCCTCCCCTCAGTGCTTCCTCTACCTTAAGAACAGTTCTAATTATGACTGGGGGTATCCCCTGCCTCCCTAGAGGATTCCACCCCTGGAGATGGAGACTCTCCCAAGCAGAGAGCGGGAAGGGACACAAGGAAGTATATGGAGTAATTCAGGCCAAGGCAGACAAGGAATGTGACCAGGCCTGCCCTGGGAGGAGACTTGTGGCTATGGCTTCGACCTCACAGAAAGGCAGCCACTCCTGGTGGCATAGGACACTGACTGCAGTCCCCAGGGAGGAGGCTGCACCTGTATGAGCTCTTATTCCTGTGGATGAGGGAGGCTAGCTGATCAAAGGGGAAGAACTCAGAATACAGCATATATCATGCACTGTCCCTGTGAGTGCCCTGCACAGAGGGCATGTATTTATGTGGGCAGATGCTGGGTACCCACCACAGAGTCCAGGCATGTGTTTGCCTGTGCACCTGCTCTGCAGGAGGCCCCAGCTTCTACCCCCAGGCTCCCTCAGGAGCCAGGCAGGCATGCCCCTGCCCAGCTCAACTCAGCCTCCCTGGCAGCAACTCCTGTGACTCAGGGCAGCAGAAACTCATACCAAACTGGTTTGATGGGAGCAGAGAGCCAGCCTAACTTGCAGGAGTAAGGGATAATGTCCATAGCCAAGTTTGAACCCTACTACTTCCCTAGTACTTCTGGTACCCTTAGAACTTCCCCTGTCCTTTCCACCCTCAGGATCCCAATCTCCGTCGCCTCCAGCACTATGTCCCTTTTGCCAAGGGATCTAGTCAGGGTCGAGGTCTGACCCCTCTGCTGCTACGAGAACCAGAGTCAGAGAAGAGGTTTGGAGTCCATTTATCGGTTGGCCCACCACACTCCCCCAAACAAAAGGTAAGGGTTTCCTCTACTCCTGTCCCTATGATCACAGCCCATTGTAATGCTCTTCAGAGACAGTGAAGCCCAGCAACCCCTGGACTGAGAGCTCTGAGAGGGGAGCCTCTCTTGACAAGCCCCTATCCAAAGACAGACAATTCTCTACTTGGTCGATGTGTTGGATCCCTTGCTGATTCAGAGAATTTTTTTTTTGATGCGTATGAATGTTATGCCCGCCTGTATGTAAGTGCACCAGTATCATGCAATGTCTGAGAAGGGCAGAGGAGGGCATTCGGTCCCTGGAACTAGAGTTACAGACGACTGTTAGCTGCCATGTAGGTGCTTGGATTTGAACCTGGGTCTTCTGCAAGAGCAGCCAGTGCTCTTAACTGCTGATCCATCTCTCCAGCCCCCTAATTCAGAGACTATTAATATAAAACTTCCAACTTTTGAAAATTACCGTCTATTCCTAAGTCTCCCCCATCATCCTTCACCCTAGCTGTGAATCTCACTTCTTTCCTCCAACACCATGTTAAGAGTAGAGTAAGGTTCAGAAGGCACACTTTTTGATACTAAAAAGAAATTATAAATTTTAAGGTATGCTGATTCATAAGTATCTCCACTTTAAGCCAAGCACAGTGGTATGGCCCACAGGAGGCTGAGACAAGAAGGCTGCAAGTTCAAGATGAGCTTGGGCTACATAGTGAGTCCCTGTCTCAAAAAAAAAAAAAACAAAGCAAACAGAAGCTTGTCTATTTTATGGATACATGTCAGAATGTTACCTGGGACCATACTTTCTTAAGTTTTGTTCTGATTACTACTTGAAGGCTCTTCTGGAATGGGTGTAGCTCAGTGGTAGAGGTCTTGCCCAGCATGCAGAAGGCTCCAGGTTCAATCCATAGCACCACCAGAAAGTAAGTTTAAAAAAAAAAATAGTAGGGGCTGGAGAGTTGGCTCAGCAGTTGAGAGCACTGGCTGCTCTTGCAAAGAACCCACGTTCAGTTCCCAGCACCTACTACATGCCACCTAACAACTGTTCTAACTCCAGTTCCAGGGGATCCGACCCCGCTTCCTGCCTCTACAGGCATTGCATGCTTGTGGCATACTAACAAAAATATACATAAAATAAAAATAAATTTAAGGGGCTGGAGAGATGACACGGGTGCACTTACATGTAGGCAATACATTCATACACATAAAATAAAAATAAACTATTAAAAAATAAATTTAAAAAAAAAGTTTAGTTGGGCAAGGTGGCACACACCTTTAATCCAAGCACTCGGGAGGCAGAAGCAGGCAGATCTTTGTGAGATCAAGGCCAGCCTGGTCCATATAGTGAGTTACAGGCCAACTGGGGCTCACTATGTAAACCAGGCTGGCCTCGAACTCACAAAGATCCACCTGCCTCTGCCTCCCAAGTGCTGGGATTAAAGGCATGTGCCACCACGCCTGGCTAAAAGAAAAAAATTTTAAGTAAAAATCTTCTTTTAAAGGTCCCTCTGAGAAGTCTGACTCTGACTCTTACTCCTGTTCTGAATCAGGAGACCCCTAGATCTCTCTATGGTCAGGGAGGCTCGCTCAAGTCCCCTTGTCCAGGGATCTTTATGCAGACCAAAGTATATCTCCTTTCCTGGGTAATTACGACTCCATTCACACCATCCAGACACGTGTATACATGTGTGCACACCCAGCACCTCCAGAGCCTGGGCGCGCGATGTTGAGGATGTGTCTCTGCTCTCTTAGGAAGTCACCAAGGCCCAACTACAACTAGAGAGGAGGCTGCATACATTCAGCATGTTTGGGATACCCCGCCTTCCCCCTGAGGACCGGAGACATTGGGAGATAGGAGAAGGTGGTGACAGTGGCCTGACCATTGAGAAGTCCTGGAAGGAGCTGGTGCCTGGACACAAGGTGGGCCTGAAATGGTTGTATATCCCCAAGATGTGACACACACACACCTCACTTCTGCCCCGGAAAAGGCAAAGCCCTTGGGATACAGGATCTAGTGAGAAAGGCCTCTGGAGAAACTTTTATCTTGCTCAAATCCCAGCTCTTCCCCCTACTAGTATAACCTTGGTTAAGACAGAGATCAGGGCTGGAGAGATAGTTCAGCTGTTAAAAGTACTGGCTGCTTTTCCAGAGGACCCCAATTTGATTCCCAGCACCCATATAGAGGCTAACAACCATCCATAACTCCAATTCCAGGGGATTCAACACCCTCTTCTGGCCTCCTTGGGCATTGTACACAGGTGGTGCACCTACATACATGCAGGCAAGACATTCCTACACATAAAATAAGAATAAATAATTTTTTAAAAGACGGAGAAGCTCTCTGAGCCTCTGTTGCTTCATATGGAAAGTGGGAATGGAGCCACCTACAAACTGGAGGAGTGTTAGGATTTAATTTTTTTTTTTTTTGTATGAGTGTTATGCCTACATGTAAGTATACCCATGTCGTGCAGTGCCTATGGAGGACAGAAGAGGTCATCGGATCTCCTGGAACTAGAGTTATGGATGGTTGTTAGCCACCATGTGGGTGCTGAGATTCAAACCCCAGTCTTCTGCAAGAGCACCAGTGCTCTTAACCACTGAGCCATCTCTCCAGCCCCAAGATTTTAAAAAGTTCATGTGTAGAGGGACCAGAACCTGTAGAGCAGATCTAGCACTTTAACAAACGGTACCTGCTCTTGTCAGCGTTCCCCAAGTGAACCAGCACTGTCCCCCTCAGGAGATGAGCCAGGAGCTTTGCCACCAGCAGGAGGCACTGTGGGAGCTCCTGACCACTGAGCTGAGCTACGTGAGAAAGCTCAAGATCATGACTGATGTGAGCCACCCTCAATCCCACTCTCTCTGGTCTTCCTGGGTCTCTTCTATTATTTCCATTCTCACAGAGCAGAAGAACTGAGGGTGGGGATGGAGGGGCAGGACTCTAAACCACTTTTTTCATTTGAGACCTGCTTGGGATCAGGGAAGAGATGCAGAAGTGGATGGGGTTGGAGGGACCCTGAAGGAGGGAGGTCAGGTGCTGAGCCACTGTCTCCCTCCCTGCCTTTAGCTCCTGGCAGCTGGTCTACTGAACTTGCAGCGGGTAGGACTGCTGACAGAAGTGAGTGGGAGCCTGGTACTTGGGGCGGGGGGTCGGGGGACAGCACAGGGAGCCCTCCAGGCTGCACAGTCTGAATTCCCACAGCCCCATTTTCTGGTACACCCCTGCCCTTTACACTTCCTGTTTGCACTAGACCCCAGCAAGCCACAGTCCCTCAGCTTCCCAGGACTCAAGGCTGAAGTGCCACAGGGGTGAAGAGACATGTGCCCTAGGATCTTCCAGGCTACAGTCAGGCTCATCCCTCCCTGCCCAACACTGTTATTGAAGCTTAAAGTCCTCACCTGTCCCTAACAGCACTATGTGACAATGACCAGACAAAGGTCTGCTGCTAAGTTCTGCTCATTCCTCCAGGTGTCAGCTGAGACCCTGTTTGGAAATGTCCCCAGCCTGATTCGAGCCCATCGGAGCTTTTGGGAGGAGGTGCTGGAACCCTCCCTGGAGGAGACTCGCACCTCTGGCCAGCCTCTGGACCCTGTTAGCTTGCAAAATGGCTTCCTGACAGTGAGTTGGGAGGATCAGGAAGGGCAGGATGGGAACAGCCCAAAGGGATCAGAGGGGGTTTACCCCACCCCAAGTGCAAAATATCACCTCATTGCCTTCATTTATTCCACAAGTGTGATCTGTCCCAAAGGTTCTTTGGTCTTCTGGAGACCCTCATGACATGGAATATCATTACCTCATAGAGGGCAGGGACGAGCTCACCAACTATACAATCTTTATTTCCCCTCCTCCTTGTTCTTCTTCCTCCTCCTCCTCCTCCTCCTCCTCCTTCTCCTCCTCTTATTCTTCCTCTTCTTCCTCTTCTTCTCCTCCTCCTCATCTTCCTCCTCCTCCTTCTTTTGAGACTAGCCTCAAACTCAATCCTCCTACCTCAGCTTCCCAAGAGCTGGGATAACAAGTATGTGCCGCTTGGCAAAAATCTTAATTATTTCTTTGAGACCCATCAGCAAATAGCAGGGTGCAAGAATGAAGCAAGGCTCGGGGATGCCTGGAAGACTTGCAGGCTTGGGTATAAAAGGCCACCGGGGTACTCAGAGTTTGAAGTACTAAGAGAAAGTGAGCTGGCCTGGGGTTATACTTTCTTCCACAGTACTATTGGACCTCCAGGAAGTGGTTGGGATGGGGTGCAAAGGTAAGGGAACAGTTTCCTGGTGACTTTTGGCATCCCCTTCCATCAGAGCAGGACTTCTAAGCAACCTTTGGGTAATAGAAACAGGAGCTGAATAGAAAGTGTCCTGAAAACACTTTGAATTATTGATGGCAGGGGAATGAGTCCAGAAGAACAAGGCACAGACAGTGACAAGGACAGAACAAACTCCAAAAGCAGCCAGGGTCTGCTTCTCAGGGCACATCGCTCCTCCCTGGAGCACAGAATGAGGGGCCTGGCTTTGGGGGACATCCTAGGATGAGCCTGGCAAGGGCTTCACTAAAGGACTATATGAGACTCTCTCCTCAACCTACCCATGTGTTGTGCAGCCAAAGTATTTGTGACTCTCTCCCACCTGCCCTGTATCTGTCCCTTCAGTTTGGCCAGCGCTTCCAGCCGTACGTCAAGTACTGTCTGCGAGTGAAGCAGACCATGGCTTATGCCCGGGAGCAGCAAGACACAAACCTTCTGTTTCACACCTTCGTGCAGGTGGGGTGCCAGAGAACAAGGGGGGAATTGTACAGATAGGCCATGCCCAGGCTCCAGCTGGGTACAAGGCTGAGGTAGTCACTGGAGGTACAGGTAGGAGGGTGAGAATACCTGAGACTCCTGACTTCTACCCATATTCCCTGCAGTGGTGTGAGAACCACAAACGCTCAGGGAGGCAGATGCTGAGTGACTTGCTTATCAAACCCCACCAGCGTATCACCAAGTACCCACTGCTGCTCCAGGCTGCACTCAAGAGGAGCCCTGAGCCCCAAGCCCGAGAGGCCCTGAATGCTATGGTAGGTGCTTAGGTGGGGCCAGGGCCCTTGGGAGTGAAGGGCTGATGAGAGAGGGGTGAAAACTAATCTCCAGAGTCCCCAGAGAGTCTTATTCCTTATATCGCACTGAGTGACTAGGCGTGTTTTAGAGTGCTGTGGCTGTCACTGATTGGGTGAGTAGGCTATGCAGAGCAAGGGTTTGAACTACACTGCCTTCTGCTTGTCCCAACCCAAGACTGTAGCTGTGGAGTCCTTCCTGCGACACATCAATGGGCAGGTCCGCCAGGGTGAAGAGCAGGAGAGCTTGATGGCTGCATCCCAGCGCATCGGACCCTATGAGGTGCTGGAACCCTCCAGCGAGGAGGTGGAGAAGGTGAAGAAAATGCGAGGCCAGAGGGGAAGAGGATGAAGGGGAAGCCTGGCAGGGAAAGGACAGGAGCCAGAATATTCTCTGAGTGCTACAGCAGGGTGTGCCCACCATCCCTTCCTGTGGGGAGAGCCCAATGGGTGGAACAGAGAAGAGTAAAAAGGAGACCCTGGGATGGGGCTGTTTGCTATGGCTCCAGGGGCAGAGAGGAGATGCTGGTGGCAGTTCAAGATGCAGCCTGGGCTGGGATGGAGAGGCATATACCTGCATGGTGCCCTGATCCCCTTTCTGTTTCCTCTCTGTGCCCCTCAGAACCTGCGCCCGTTCTCTACTCTGGACCTGATGTCCCCCATACTAGGGGTTGCCTCTGAACACACCAGGCAGCTGCTGCTGGAGGGACCTGTGCGAGTGAAGGAGGGGCGAGAAGGGAAGGTGAGCGAGCCATGCACAGGAGTGAAAAGATGGGAGGCAGAGTCAAGGGAATAGAGGCATGGAGGAGCAGGGCAGGAGGCAGTGTGGGCTTGGGAGATGGCTCCGTGGGCAAGACTGCTTGCTCTACAAGCATGAGGACCTAAGTTTGAATCCCCAGGATCCCAGTAAGAAACTGGACATGGGCACTGGAGAGATGGCTCAGTAGATAAGAATTCTTGCTGCTCTTGCAAAGGACCTGAATTCAGTTCCCAGCACCCATAGTCAGGCAGCTTACAACTGCCTATAACTCTAGCTTCAGGGGATACGAAACTGTCTTCTGGCCCCTGCAGGCACCTGCACTCACATGCACATGCCTATTTACCTACCCCCCCCAACACACACATGCACACCCACAGACAGTACATATACATGCAAACTGGAAATAGGAGAAAGTGTGGTGGGCAGGGTCAGAGAACACGTTTCTGGCTGAATTCTGGCTGAGTACTGACTACTTGTATAACCTTGAACCAGTCCTTTCCCTGCCTAGGAAGTGAGATATGGAACCAAACTGACCCCCTCCCAGCTCTAGCTCTCCACAGCTCTGCACTTGTCCTTGTGCTACTGTGCATCTGCTAGCGAGTTGGGATCCCTGACCAGCCCTTCCCCCAGCCCTGGCTGATCCTGCCTCTTTCTCCTGTACTCCTTCCTGCAGCTGGATGTGTACCTGTTCCTCTTCTCCGATGTGCTCCTAGTAACCAAGCCTCAACGCAAGGCAGACAGAGCCAAGGTCATCCGTCCCCCTCTCATGCTGGAGAAGCTTGTGTGCCGACCACTGAGAGACCCCCGTATGTCTTTCTTGCCAGAGGAGGAAGGGTCGGGAATGGGGGTCAGATAAAACCCAGCCCTTAAAGCAGAGCTTCTTCTTCATGCAGACAGCTTCCTGATGATCCACCTCACAGAGTTCCAGTGCGTCTCCAGTGCCTTCACTGTGCATTGTCCTAGTTCAACAGATCGTACACAGTGGCTGGAGAAGACCCAGCGGGCTCAGGTAGGTGACAGACAGGCTTGGGGAGGAGTGGGCACCCACCCTTGGAGCTTAAGAATGGTGTCACACAGGGGATGAGGAAGGCAGAGAGGCTGGGCTGGGTGCAGGTAGAGACAACCATCAGCACCCTAGGTGCTTTCCAGAGGGGAACAGAGCCCAAGAAAACCTGTAGCCAGCTACCAAGCCAGCTACTGAGAGAGCCCAAGGCATGGCACACCCTAATGTCTTATCCACCCTGAAACAATTAGCTTCTAAACTCTATCTTCCGCTCATATACCCATGGGGCACTTTCTGGGTACTGGCACCAGGGCTAGGTGCCAGTAATCCAGAAAAGAGTAAAATCACCATTCTGACTCCAGGAGTCTGTCCTGCAGCCCAGTTAGAGTAATCAGAGTACAAATATTAGAAGCAAGTTTGCAGAAGAGAACATGAGAAAGGGGAACAATGCCTTCTGTCCCACCTGTCCACTGGGAAAGGGATGGTGCAAGGGAGATGGGGGCGCAGGTAACTATCACACCAGAGCTGCAGTGGAGCGTTGGAGATGTAGGAGTATGTCAGGGGAATAAGGCAGGAAGGGAGGGGCATGAAGTACGAGGGCAGACAGGAGGCAGACGCTGCAGGATCATGCCCATCTCTGGATACCATGCTAAGAACTTGGACTTTGTCCCATAGACACAGTGGAGCCAGTGAAGGTTTTCAACAGGGTAGTGACGTGAGCAGATTTGTGTGATGAAAACAGGAATTTTGAAAGCAGAGATAGCAGTAAAACTGTGTTAGTTACCACAAACTTGGTGGCTTAACACAACAGGAACTGTGCTAGGGTATAGCTCAGTGGTGGAGTACTTGAGTACCATGACCAGCGCCCTGGGATTAATTTATCCACAAAAACAATAGTCAAAACCAAAACCAAAACAACAAACTGAAACAGTCCTTTACAGCTATGGAAGCTGGAAGTTCAAAATCAAAGTGCTGACAGAACTGAGCTTCCTGTCTAGACTTTGGGGGAGAATCTGTGACTTCCTGCTTCTGATGACTCTAGTGGTCCTTGACCTGGGGCAGCATCCTTCCAATCTCTGGCCTTCCTCTCTGTATGCCTGTATCTAAGTCTGTCTTTCCTTTATCTTAGAAAGACACCATGCATTAGATTTAGAGTCCACCCAAAATCCAGGAAGGTGTGGTCCTGGGATCCTTAATTGAGGACCCTTTCACATCACTAAAACGTCTTTTCTCAAGCAAGGTCACATTTCTAGCTTCTAAGGGTTGGTTTTCAGACCTATCTTTTTCAGGGCTGCCGGTCAACCCACTAGGGCAGCAGAATGACAAAGAAAGATGGAGATTTGAGTTGGGCTCTTTGTGTCTTGTTTGTTAGCAGGGCTGGGGGTCAAACCCAGGGTCTTGCCCATGCTAGGCAAGTGCTCTACCCCTGAGCTCCACCCCCAACTCCACGTAGTAATATTTAAACTCGGTTATTTGCATATGTGTGTGTAGTGTATGCCTGTGTGTGCATGGTTGTACTTGCATGCACGTATAGAGGCTAGAGGTAACTTCACATGTCTTCCTTTATCACTCTGGGTTTTTTGTTGTTGTTTGTTCTAGAAACAGGGTCTCACTGTGTAGCTCTGGCTGTCCTGGAACTTACTATGTAGACCAGGCTGGCTTCAAACTCACAGAGATCCAACTGCCTCTGCCTACGGAGTACTGGAATTTAAAGGTGTGTACCACCACATCCAGCCTGAGACAAGGTGTTTCACTAAACCTGGAGCTTACCGTTTTGGCTAGACTGACTGGCCAGTAAGCCCTTGCCATCTTCCTGTCTCTACTCTCAGTGCTGGGATTACAGGGGCATGCTCCCATGCCTGATAGGTACTGGAGACCCAAACTCAGGACCTTGTGCTTACACAGCAAGCACTTTTCCCTCTAAGCCATCTTCTCAGACTTGTAATATTTACTTCTGTTTTTGTTTTTGTTTTGTTTTTGAAACAGGGTCTCCCTATAGCCCCAGCTGGCCTGGAACTTGCTATGCAGACCAGGCTGGCCTCCCAAGTGCTAGGGGATCAAAGGTGTGCACCACCATGCCCGGCTCTGTAATATTTACTTTTAAACAGAAACACTTTGAAATTGAAGCCAAATGGAGATATCTTAGAAGCTTTAGGAATATGAGGACGTGGGACTGGCACTCAGAGAACTAAGGTTGAAAGATTTGTGTCCTCCAGCTCTGCGCAGCATGCCTTCCTGAATAAGATGGGAATAAGATTGGGGGGGGTCCTAGGAAGCCAATGGGACTAGAATAGGAGAGACATGAGGTATGAGGGTGAGGGGCAGTGTTTTACCTGCCCTGCCCTGTGCTCCAGAACACCCTTTCTGCATGGGAGGGGCTTCTCGCTACACATCTTGCCAAACCTGAGCACAGGTACTCTGAGGCTGGACTGATAGGCTCTGACTCACCCCAGTGATTAATGGAGCTTTCCTGAAGGCAGGGGGGCCTGCAGAGCACTAGGGGAGGAAACCAGAAGCAAATGTTTGGTCCTAGAGCCCTTGCTCCACAGGACAGAGGAGTCATTACCGACTGCAGCCTCTTCTCATCTCATCTGACTTTTCCCCTTCTCTCTTCTTCTCTCTCCTTTTTAAAAAATTTCTTTTTATTTTATGTGTAAGTGCACACATGCCGTGCGATGCCTTCGGAGGCCAGAAAAGGGCATTGGATCCCCTGGAATTGGAGTTACAGATGGGTGTTAGCTGCCATGTGGGTGCTGGGAACCAAACCCAGGTCATCTGAAAGAGCAGTCAGGGCTCTTAACAGCTGAGTCACCTCTCCAGACCTCAGCCTCTTTACCACCACATCCTCTGAATTTTTTCCTCTTCTTTGAGTCCCAGTCTTAGAACTTCTCCCACATTCAAACTTTGGGATTTCTAGGAGCCACTAAAAACTGCTAGTGTTTATATGCAAAATAACAGCCCCTGAGAGTCTCTTCAGACTGACAGATGGAGGGTCACTTCTGTTCTATGAGCAAACTGTGTAGTAAGGCTCCCAACCACCCAAAGTCTGAAACACTGCAATTCATTTCACTATTCTTGTCTCATACCAAATTCTTCTGGAACTCTCTGCTGAACTACCATCACTCTTCACATACCAGAGGAGGGTGGAGCATCTATAGCATTCCCCAGAGATTGGACTTTCTCTCCCTCCCCGTGAGAAACACTGGTGAGACTTCTTCCTTGAGTGTCCACCAAGGTGACTTACACCGTAACAGAAACTGAGCTTCTCAAGGGGGCAGAGACTGAATCTTGCCACGTGTCCATACTTGGCAGCTAGGAAGAAGACAAGGAACTGGTGAAGGGAACAGAAAGAGCCCTCAGAGGTAGAGGCCAAGAAGCAAAAGTGGGGCTGACTGAAGAAGGGTAAGAATCAGGATCTGGGGGCTGGAGAGATGGCTCAGCGGTTAAGAACATTTGCTGTTCTTCCAGAGGACCTGGGTTTGATCCCCAGCACCCACATGGAAGCTAATAACTGTCTGTAACTCCAGTTCCAGGGGATCTGATGCCCTCTTCTGGCATATGTGGGCACTGTATGCACAGGGTGCACTTACCTGTATGCAGGCAGAACACTCACACATAAAATAAATATAGTAAGTTTAAAATAATCAGGAGCTGGAAAAGAGGCCTGAGCCCACTGCTCTTGCACCCACCCCGTGTTCTTAGCGAGTTACTCACCTCTCTAAGCCTGGCTTTTATCTAGGGAGCCTGTGATAACAGTAACTAGCAGGCAGAGAATTATGTCACCAGTTTGTCACAGGCCCTATACGTCAAGGGCACTCCACAAGCGCATGTCATTGTTTTGCTTATTAGAAAGAAGTAAACCAGCTGTTGTACTGTGTTCCTGTAATCCCAGCACTTGGAAAGTTGAGGCCAGCCTGGGCTACATAGCAAGTTCCAAACCTGAGCTATATAGCAAGATTCCGTACCACAAAATGAAGAAGGGAAAAAAGAGGAGGAGGGGGAGGAGGAGAAGGGAAGGAAGGAAAGAAAAGAGATATATGGCAGGTGGTGCAGAGAAATCTCAGTGTTGGTAGCTTAGAGAGTCGAGGTGCCATCTAGAGATCCCTGATCATCCAGTATTTCTGGGAGAGTGGGTGAATATGCTGTGCCCAAGGGACTGCAGGGAGAGGAGGAAATCTCTCTGGGTTTCTCCACAGGAATAAAGGTTTAAGAATCCTGCCAGGGAGCCCCACTTCCTTCTTCAGTTTTTAGGGTGTCACACTCTGGCTCTGCTTTTCCAACACTGCTTGCCTTGACTCTCTTGCTGTAGCCAAGAAAAATCCCCCAGGTGATGCTGGGCTTTTGAGGCAACTGGAAGCCCTGTGCCCTGGTACCTGAGGCTCCCCACTCGTGCTCTTCCAGGGGAGGGGCAAGTTTAGTGGAGATGCTGGCATCAGGTGTTCCTTAAAGAACCCTCCTTTTTCGTTTCATTCTTTCCTTCCACACTGCAGCCTGGGCATCCCATCACAAACTTGAACCTGGGGCATGTGGAGCAAAGAACATGACATTTCCTCAGAACAAACAGGCTGCCAGGCCCATGGCCATTCTTTTAGCTCATTCCTTCCCTTACCCCACACTGAGCTGAGAGATGAGGCCTGGAGAAGAGGGAGGGGACATGGAACCCAGCACTGGTGTTAGTTTCCTGCCCCCAGATTCCATCCCCTATTCTGGCCCAGTAACTGGAAAGCCAGGGAAAGGAGCGTTGGAGCTGTCAAGCTGATATCATTTTCCTATGCCTGTCCAACCTTCCTCCAACATGTCTTGTCCTGACCCAGCCACCCTCATGCTCCTACAGAAGCTTTGGGAACACCTGGGCATCTCAGAGCTGCTATCTCACATTCCTCAAGTGAAGGAGAAAGTTCTAAGACAGAACCACCAGGCTAGACTGGCATCAAAGAATCAGAACAGAGCATTGTGTGGGGCAGAGGGAGCATTTGAGGTCCCCTGCTGAGCCAGATGCAGCCCCTTAGTTGCTGTGGTGATGTGGATGCTGGGGAGGGAGATAGAAGACTTGAGCCACAGCCATTTCATTACCAGCTTAGAAGCACCTTTGGATTCTTTCAAAATTGTTTTTGCTTATTTTATGTGTGTTTTGCCTGCATGCAGTGCCCATGGAGGCCAGAAGAGGGCATTGGATCCCCCCTGGAACTGGAGTTACAGATGGTTGTTAGCCACCATGTAGGTGCTGGGAACTAAACCCAGACCCCCTGCAAGAACAGCCAGTGCTTTTAATCACTAAGCCATCTCTCCAGCCCACATTTTAGTATTTTCATAACAACATGGCCACATCCATGAATACGAATGCCCATGCTGCCTGCAGGAGTCAACTCTATGCTCCCTCCTCCAATACTAACATCTCACAGTAATTTCTCACCCAGCTTTTCTTCTCCCTGCCCATGCCCACTTCCCTTCAACAAGCTGCTGCATCTAAGTCTAATCTTCTCATCTGTAAAATGGGCTTATGGCCATGCCTCTGCATTGCAGAGCAATGATGTGTGACAAAGAACCCCATGCACATAGAGGTACTTTGCAAACCACCTCTCAGCTGTCACTTTTATTCTGTATGACAGCTCCGAAGAAAGAACAGACATGTCATCTTCTCTTCTATCTGGGGACAGTTTTACTTCCACCTCCTCCTGAAAGACAGAAGAGTCCTCAGCCTAGGACAAGCCTGCCCCTGCCTACCCTCTCCCCTCTTGGTCCTCCAACCTTCAGGGCGGAAGCCAAGGTGATGGAAGAGCAATGTGCTCAAAGGGGCAACCCAAGAAACAGTGCTGTTCAGAGCCCTTACATCGCCCTTCTCCCAATCAGGGAAGGCTTCCTGAAAGAAGAGGCACACCTGAGGGCTTCCCAGGATACATGGAAATCGGGGAAATCATAGAGAAGGAAAAGGAACTTGTTATTCACCCCAGGCACCCACAGTACCAGTTCTGCAACTCGGTGACACCACATCTTGGCACCAACATACTCCCTTCCTGTGAGAGGTGTCCCTCAGATGGTCACTTAACCTTCAAGTACCCACTTCTCAGTAGGAAAGTAATTGTAAACACCTGTGCCTCAGAGGGGTAACACGACGACTGAAGATAGTGTAGGTAAAGCACTTAACACAATGCCCAGCATACAGTAAGTGCTCAATAAATGAGAGGCTCATAATAATGAAAGTCCCTCCCCCAGGCCAACCTGCAGAAGCTGAAGACTGAGGCATATGTTCAACAGAAGAGGGAGCTCCTGGCCCTCTATCGGGACCAGGACCTGGAGTCCCCGAGTACCAGGCCCTCCACGCCTTCCCCGGAGGGCTCTCAATGCAGCGCTGAGGGGAGGTAAGACCCAGTGTGCCACCAAAAGAGGGGAGCCACCAGTGGGAAGGAAGGAGGAGGAGCTCAAAAGGCTGAGTGTGGCAACACGGCCTTAGGGGACTTAGTGTAGGGATAGGAATGTAGGCTACAGGCTGGGGTAGAAAGGGTGGGTAGCCGCCCTGTAAAAGGATGTGTGAGACAGCTTGTAGTGTCAGCCAGCTCGGGTGCACACAGGGTAAAGGAAATGAAGCTCAACTCCCCAAGGAGAATAAGAGGGTCACCCAAGATGAAATAGTAGAGAAAAGAGGAATCCATCGCTGGATCCATTCAGCAAATATGTGACCAGCTGCCTGACATGAGGTCTGGACCAGGTGCCCTGAATAGAATAGCTTAGAGAAAACCCAAGCTCTTTTATTTTTATTTTTTTAATTTTAATTAAGTCAGGGTTCCCTGTAACCCCAGCTGGCCTGGAACTCACTATGGAGACCAGACTGGCCTCGATCTCACAGAGATCCACCTGCCTCTGCAAGTGTTGGGATTAAAGGCACATGCCACCACTCCAGGCCCAACCTCTTTCTTACTTGGTTGGTTGATTGTTGTTTGTTGAGGCATAGTCTCATTATGCAACCCTGGCTGACCTTGAACTCCTGGCATTCCTCCCTCCTCAACTTTCCAAGTGGTGGGATTACAGATGTGTCACATGCCCAACTCAACCAAGGTTTTTCATAGAATACATTCTAGCCAGTGAGGGTTGGAGAAACAATCACAGTGTCTTGTAAATGAGACAGGGAAACAAGTTTGGAGGAGGAGGCATTTCTGGATAGAATAATAAGGGAGATTTCTGGTGCTTGAACTTGATTGACTCCTAAGCATCAAAGCCTAACTTTTTGCTTTTAACCATAGGACTCTTGAGTTCACCACCATCATCCCCCACCTAGTGGTAACCGAAGATACGGATGAAGATACTCCCTCTGTACCAGATGATACCTCAGACTTTAGCTATGGCACTTTGATTCCAAGCTCCCCCAAGGATTCCCATTCCACCCTGAGCCGGCTCCGCCCCAAGGCTCTTCGAAGGGACCCTCGCCTCACCTTCTCTACCCTGGAACTCCGAGACGTCCCTTTGCGCCCCAACCCGCCAGACCCCCAAGCTCCCCAACGGCGAAGTGCCCCAGAATTGCCAGAAGGGATCCGAAGAGGGGGCAGTCTTCCCAGAAGAGACCCACCAACCTGGTCTGAGGAAGAAGATGAGACTTTGGCACCAGGAAATGTGGTGGTAGAAACGCTACACAGGGCCCAACTTCGGGGCCAGCTCCCCCACTCACCCACCCATACTGACTCTGCCGGGGAGAGCCCCTGGGAGTCCTCAGAGGAAGATGAGGGGTCTGTCTCCCTGAGACCCCGCCGCCACCTGAGGGCTGAGGACATGCTCAGGGAGATCAGGGAAGAGCTGGCCAGTCAAAGGATTGAGGGAACTTCAGAGCCCAGGAATGGCAGGCCTCGGAAGCTGACTCAAGCCCAGCTGCAAAGGATGCGGGGACCCCACTTCATACAGCTGGATACCCCTCTGTCCACATCGTAAGTGCCCAAGGGAAGCTACAAAGAGAAGGGTGGTATGGATAGGGGAGAGGCAGCATAAAAGGACAGCAGTGCAGAGCAGGGACCAATGCAGGAGCGGGGGCTCAGCCTCCACAGTCACCCCACTCTCGCGTTGACCTTGGCCTAATGTACCTGTCTACTTCCTTTACAGAGAAGTGTGAGGATCTTTGGCAAGTCTCTCAGAGGAACTGTCTCCCCAAGAGTGCTGGTCACTACCCGGTTCCTGGACTCTACCTCAAGAACTACTCTTCCCACCAAGAAGCCTGACCTAGGCACCTGCCTCCTGCTCTGTGGATTCTGGAGGTCAAGAACTGTAAATTTATGTATCATAGACACACTCCTGAACCCCATATAAAATTATTCAGAAACAAGACTGTTTGGTCAGCACTAGATGAGGGGGGAAAAAGAGACCAGGGAATCACAATGCATATGTCAGCTGGCATCCCACCCTTCAGGTCCTAGTGTCTTTGCCCAGCCTCTCTGGATTATCCACAGACCACTCTCTCCAGAACCAGCGTTTTAATTTCAGGGTTTTAGTGTATTTACAAAAATTCATGGGAGACCCCATTGTTCCGTGTTTGCCCCTGCCTTGGACAGCTGAGCTGTGTTTGTCCAAGCAGAGGGTGGCTGAGTTTCCATTAGTGTAATATAATTGATACAAAGATTGCTTATTTACTGTGAAAAAGGTCCAGGTACCAACCAAGGGCCCCTGAACCACCAGCCTTGGCTGGGCCCTACTGCACCCCAAACAAACATGAGGTATAGTGTCCCTTTCCTTCACAACCACCTGCTCTGTTGCTCAGCCAACAGCAAGCAGACAGATGGCACATTCTCGCCGCCCTGCTGGCTCAGGAGCGGTCCTCTGCAGCTGAGAAAAAGCTATGTACAACGAGTGGGTAGCACCAAGGAAGTTGCTGCCAGCTCGAGCCTGCCCCTCCAAGGTCCTTCCTTTCCCTTATCCAAAGAGGAGGTTGCAGGGCATCTTGCAGGACCGACCTTCAGGGATGCCTGGAGGGGAAGCAGCAGCCTCCAGAGCAAGTCCATCCCGGTGGCCGGGGGGGTGTGGCCTCATCACGCGAGGTGGGGCGCGGGGCTTCCCAGCGCCTCCTGGATTTCATCCAGGCAGCCGAACAGGTCCATGTCGCAGAGCACTCGGCCCAACAGGTCCAGCGTGGCCTCGTGTCGTGGCGTCCGCCGCCGCCAGGCCTCCAGCATACTGTAGTGCGCCTCGCGCAGGCAGCGAATGTTCTGCAGTTCCAGCCGCTCGATCTCGTGCTCGTTCAATCCTAGGCGCCGCATGAACTCCTTCCAGCGAGATGGGGGCACGTGGTCCACCACCGTGTACAGCGTGACGGGGTCTGCAGCTAAGGACAAGGATGGTGCGTCTCCAGCAGGAGCCCCATCATTGCACCCTCCACCCTGCCCAGCTCCCACCAGGAGTAATGCCCTGCCAGGGAACCCAAACTCACCATCAGGACGCCGAGGATGGGAGCTGTCTTCCCACTGCTGAACAGCTGCAGGGGCTGGCATGGAGGCCAGGGATGGGTAGAGGATAGGGTCAGCACATTGGGTTGGGGACAGGTCCCTGAGAGGTGACACAACCCTGAAGTTGGGCCAGTCACTGGGGTTGAAGGTGGGGCTGGAAGTGAGGTGGGTACTAGAGATGGGACTGAAGGCTGGGGTGGGGCTAAAGGCTGGGGTGGGGCTGAAAGCTGGGGCAGGGGCTGTGGTTAGAGGCTTAGTAACAATTCCTTCAACATCCCCCTGAAAGAGAAGACACCCACTTTAGTGGACAAAGGAAAAAAAGAGTCCCACCCGCTTCATTCTTTATAGGAATGGAGCCTCCCCCCAGTACCCTGCCAACCCATTCCAGGTAATTTTGGAATTAAGAATTGGAAAGGGACAGTCAGGGAAGCAGGGGTAGGTCTCTGGCTTCCTCTTACCTCTTTCACAGATGCTGCTTTCCCACAAACTGAGAGAGAGAAAAAAAAAAGCATCATAAATTTCACTTCCCTCTCAACCTATGCACCCTGGCCTTGGGGACTTGTGGTGTCATGCCTCAGGGCCTATGTGGCCCCAGGGACAAGAGAATTACTAATGCAATATGACTTCCCACTCACCATCCAGGACCACCCCCTGCCCAGAGTCCTCAACCCTGAACAAAGGAGTCACTCCTCTCCCTCCATCCTACCTACCCAACCACCTCCCATATCCCCACCTTTACCCTCCCAAAGGCCCCACTCACTGATGGAGTAGAGCTTGGATTTCCACCGGCGATATCGGCACATTAAACTGATGAAGATGAAAGATAAAAGGCAAAGACCAAGGAAGATCACCAGGGGCAACAGCACTGTGGTACCTGTAGACAAAGTGTAGGATGCTCAGAGGGAGGCCACAGAGATGGGGTGTGCATGGCCTAGGTAGCCAGCCAGTGAGCATGGACCCTAGGCCATTTTTCCTCACCTGAGTCTGGAGTGCCTTTATTTTGAAGTGGAAGCAGGCACAACTTCATACACTCCTGGTTTTCCTTACACCTGAAAGAGACAACACTGGTGAATAGCGGCCTCCCACTAGAGGAATACAGAAAAAATACAGAAAGATTATCAGAAATTCTTTGCTTTATAATTGTTTTGCTGTCTCCTAATATAATGGAATTTAACTTATCTTGAGAACTGATACAGGGCTGGAGAGATGGCTCAGCACTGGCTGCTCTTGTAGAGGAACAAAGTTCGGATCCCAGCACCACATGGTGGCTAACAACAGTCCCTAACTCCAGTTCCAGGGAGATCAGGCATTACATGACATGGGTACACTTAACATACATGCAGGCAAAACACTCATATACATAAAATAAAAATAAATAAAATGTAAAAACACAAGAGCTGATGTAGATGAAATAATCATGGAACCATTTAATTTTACAATTAGAAGGGGTGTTGGAGGCTGGACAGGGTAGTGGTGCATGCCTTTAATCCCAGCACTCAGGAGGCTGAGGCAGGAGGATCTCTGTGACTTCAAGGCAAGCCTGGTCTACATAGTGAGTTCCAGGACAGCTGGAGCTACAAGGAGACCCTGTCTCAAAAAAGAGGGGGATTCTTACAAAGGCTGTGTTGAGAATCAGTAATGTCAGCACTTGGGAGATGGAAGCAAGAGGATTAGTTCGAGGTCGTCCTGGGCTACATAGCAAGTTCAAGTTCAGCCTGGGCAACAGGAGACCTTGTCAAGGAAGGAAGGAAAGAGGGAAGGAGGGAAGAAGGAAGAGGAAGAGCTGTGTTGATAAGTTTAAAAATGGTCACAGGGCTGAGATTATACCTCAGTGGTAAAACACATGCCTATCGTGCAAAAGGCCTGGGCTCCAAAATCAATAATAAAATCAATTTAAAAGCAGTCAAGATCACTGTATAAATTCCATCCCAGTCATTGGCTAGTGATGTGACATAAAGAAGCCATTTCACTTCCACACCTCGGTGTCCTCATGGAGCTCCCCCTCTCCCCTCACTCCCCCCAGCTCTCCCCTCACTCCTCTCTCCCCTCTTAGGATTTAGGATTAAGTACTTAGCCATGACATAGGAAGTGCTTGGTAGATTGTAGCTGTTGGTGAACTGATAGTTTATCACTGTTTTTGCTGATGGGCTTGTAGCACAGAGAGACTTATGGCTTGAATCTGGAATGTCCTCCCAGGGTCCACATGTTGAAGTCTACTGGGAGGTGGTGGAACTTTTGGGAGGGGGAGTCTAGTGGAGGAAGTTAGGTCACTGGGGGCATGTCCTTGACCCCACCCCCACCTCCTTTCCCTCTGCCTCTCAGGAGGCATAGGCAAGAGTAACTGCCTATGAAGTAACCAACTGTGCTCCACCATGTGCTCTGACCATGATGCTCTGCCTCACCACAGGCTCAAAAACAACAAAGCCCAGGGCTGGAGAGATGGTCCTCGGGTTAAGAGCACTGACTGCTCTTGTAGAGGACCTGAGTTTGATTCCCAGCACCCACATGGCAGCTAACAACTGTCTGAACTCCAGTTCCAGGGGATCCGATGCCCTCTTCTAACCTCCACAGGCATTGCACGACACGGGTACATTTACACACATGCAGGCAATACCTCATACACATATAATATTAAAATAATAATAATAAACAACAAATTCCAAACATCATGAAGTAAAACTTCTGAAGCCATGAGACAGAAAAAAAAAAAAAAAAAAAACACACAAAAAAACAGAAACAAAAAAACCCTTCCTCGTTTTAGGTTGATTAACTTAGATATTTGTCACAGGCCCAGAAAGCTGACTAACACAAGAGGCTGAAGAACTTTTTCTTAGATGACATTACGGTTTTAGCACCTGGCTTTAGAGAGGATAAGTCATGCGGGCACGACAGGTTTTTGCTTAACACTGGGGCAGCCCAAGAGCCCTCCATAGAAACTCCTAACATGTTGAGAGCTGCCACAACACGGTGCGGAGTGAGACAACTACATTGGGAGACCCAGAGGAACTTGAGAATGGGAGTTCTCAATAGAAATCTGGTAACAGAGAAAGGCATTTTGTCTACCTCAGCAGCTCAAGATGAAAACCCACATGGGATGGGTGTATGAGCTCTTCTGAGATGAAACAAGTGGGGAAAACAGAAAGGAAGCAGCTTTGTGTCAGGTGCTGTTATAGGTTGTTGAGTCTACTGATTTTCTGGGGTTTGGTTTGCAGTCCTGGGAAGCCAACCCAGAGCATCACATATACTAGATAAGTGATCTACCATTGAACCACACTTCCAGCTTCACCCTCTTTACCTTAACGGTTAAGAAAAGTAAGACTTACGAGATTTACAGACAGTAAATAGGTTGGCTGGAATTTAAATTCAGGTCAATTCAACTATGACACGCTGAGTTACTTCTTTACAAGCAAGTGTATAAAAACAACCTATGTGGAACCACAGGAGTGAGGAAGGCTGTCAAGACATCTTGGAGGGAAATACCATATTGACATGTGCATCAAAGTTAAGATATCATCAACAGTAAGGTCACAGTGGTGCTCACCTCTGATCCCAGTACTAGGGAGGCTCAAGCAGGAAGATTTATAATTCAAGGACAACGTGGGCTACATGGTAAAATCTTGTTTCAAAAAACAAAAGCAGAGCCAGGCATAGTAGTACACACTTTTAGTCCCAGCACTCGGGAGGCAGAGGCAGGCAGATCTCTATGAGTTCGAAGCCAGCCTGGTCTACATAGTGAGTTCCAAGCCAGCTGGGGCTACAGGGAGACCCTGTCTCAAAAGGACCAAAAAAAAAAAAAAAAGCAAAGCAAACAAGCAAAAGGTACTGTTCTTTATACACACACATACATGTACTCAAAGCTGCCAATTGTTACCATGATAATCATTTGCCACACATAATCAATTGTCAAAATATATTTTTTATTTTATGTGTATGAGCCTGCATGTGCATGTGTAAGTGCACCCATGTCATGCAGTGCCAGCAGAGGTCAGAAGAAGGCATCTGATTCCCCCAGAACTGTAGTTACAAGTGGTCATTAGCCACCATGTTGGTGCTGGGTACATAATCAATTGTAAAGTGCAGTCTGATTTCACAGGCATAAAGGCATACATTCTAGAATTGGTGAACTACTGTGGATCCCACTGTCCAAGAGTCTGAAAACCTGTGTGTGTGTGTGTGTGTGTGTGTGTGTGTGTGTGTGTGTGATCGTACATGTATAGGTCTGCATACCATGGCCCATGTGTGGAGGTCAGAGAAGAACTTTATGGAATAGTTTCTCTCCTTCTACCTTTATGTGATTTCTCTGGCCTGGAACTTGACATGCAGATCAGACCAGGCAGGCCTTGAACTCCTTGAGCTCTGCCTGCCTCTGCCTCCCAAGTGCTAGGATTAAAGGCTTACCCCACCACTCCCAGCAAGACTTAACATTTGAGGAACATGTTCAAGGAAGGGGAAGAACTACCTGATTTGATGTAGAATCTCCCACTCAGCCAACTGTAGAAACCATGAACACTCTGGGTGTCCCTGCTACTCTGCTAGGGGCACTCATCCATAGCTTCCTATCCACCCCAGTTCCCAGGTCCCCATTCATCTGTAGCAGCTGGTGGGTACTCACTGATCACAAGAGATGCACTTGTTGTTGCTTAGAAAGAACCCTGCATGGCAGGTACACACGGTGTTCTGTTTCTCCTGACCTGTGAGGAGAAGACAGCACAGCTAAAGGAAGCCCGCCTGTACTGAGGACCAGAGGGAAGAAAAGGGGCAGGTGGAGGTGCCAGACAGGAGCTCGGGGCCACAGGCTGGGGAATGGGAAGAAGAGATGGAGAAGGGGTGCAAAAAGGTGAAAACCTTCCTCCGGAGATATGGGCTTTTCCCAGGGAGGGGAGAGAGTCTGGGTTCAGGTGAGTGGTGCTCACAGTGGATATTCACGGTGCCATTGAGGCAGAGGCTGCAGTCCATGCACTCGAAAAGATTATCACTCAAGTAGTGCTGGAACTGATTCTCCCTACAGCCACACACGGTATCCTTGTCCACTCTGCAAGGAGAAATCTCCACCTGGAACATTTCTGAAGAAGGAAGGAAATGGGGCATGAGTCTTGCATCCTTTTTCCATGAAAATCCCGACAACCCCCACCCCCACCATGTGCATCTGTTTTTGCATCATACACACTCACGTACACACAGGCCTAGGCCTGCATGTCATGTGTATCCCCACCTATATCCACCAGCACAGAGTTGCCACCCCCAAAAGCATGCGCGCGCGCACACACACACACACACACACACACACACTCACTCACACGTGTACATTCCTTTTCAGACCATGCACATGCTAGAGTCCTGCCCACTCCCAAGGCTTGCCTTTCCGACATGACTTGCAACTGAGGCAAAATTTGAGGTGGTTCTGGGAAGCGGTAAAGGTGCCTTTTCCACATTCTTTGCAGACCGTTTCCTGGCCTGGGCCTGGACAATCATCATACAAGTAGGTTCCTACGAATGGGGTCGAGAGCTGAAGAAAGGAACTCCAGGCTTGGGAGTCCAGCCAAGACCTTCCTTGAGTTCTCTAGTAGACAGAAGGAAGGGCAAAACCCAAGACCAGGAGAGAGCAGAGTTAGGGGACTCCCAGGGACCTAAATTCTAGAACATCTCCAACCAGTGAAGGGAGTCTCAAGGGAACTCATGGCTCTCTCTTTCTCCTACCTTTGTGGCACTTAGTACAGCAGACGGAATTATTCAGAGGATGGGTGTATTTTCCGGGTGGACATAAACTATCCCTCTTCTCCCGATCCCCACCGGAAGGAACCAGTCCAGTGACCCCTGAGGGGTATATCACCACTAACAGAGCCAGGAGCACCTAGGGAGGAATCAGAGAAAGAGAGGGGAGGCCATCAGGGCAGCAAATTGAAATCCTCCCCAGCTCACATTACTCCTGAAGCATTCTCCTTTAGACAGAGAGGTCACCATGCAGGCCACCAAGTATTTACTTGATCTCTGCTTGTTCCAGATGCTAGCATCTGTTTCATCAACTTGATGACTAGGTTCCAAGCCCCAGCTGTATTATCCTTGTCAGTTCCCCGAAACAGCTCACAGAGCTGACCAGAAGGAAGATGGTCAAAGAATGTTTAGTTATTGCTGTTGTGGGCTGCAGAGCTGGGGGTAGAACTCAGAGACTCACTCAGTACCATTGCACTACAACCTTCCTGCCCCACCCAGGGAATGCATTCAGAGCCAGAAAGAGTGGATTGCTTCAGTTACGGCTCCTTCTTCCAACAAGCAGTCCTAAAGATCAGGGAGGCATTTCTGTATTTGGTTGCAAGCTTCACAGTGTGTCCATTCATAGACATTCAGAGGTGAGCCATTAGGATCTGCAAACCTTTCTGAATTTTGTTATACTGATAAAAACTATTTTGAAAAAAAAAATCAGATTGGGGTAGGGTGGGATGGATGCTGGGGTGATGGCTCAGTAAAGTGCTTGCTGTGCAAACAAAAGAACCTGAGATCAATCCCTCCCCAGCACCTACATAAAAAGCCAGGCATGGTGGCATGCACTTGTAATCCCAGTGATGGGGAGGCAGAGACAGGCAGATCCCTGGAGTTCTCTGGCCAGTCAGCCTAGCTGAATCGTCCAGCCCCAGGTCCCAGTGAAAGATCAAAAAACAAGGTGGAGGGGCTGGAGAGATGGTTCCGTAGTTAAAGGCACTCACTGCTCTTCCAGAGGACCTAGGTTCAGTTCCCAGCATCCACGTGGTGGCTAACAACCATCTATAACTCCAGTTCCAGACGATCTGACACCCTTTTCTGGCTTCCTCAGGCGTTGTACGCATGGATGCACTGACATATATGCAGGCAAAACACTCATTAAATAAAAATAATAAAAATTTTTAAAAACTACAAACAAAGTGAACAGCACCTGAGGATCCTACCTAAGGTTGACCTCTGACCTCAATACACATCTATACACCCAGGTATGACTACAGAGAGAGAGAGAGAGAGAGAGAGAGAGAGAGAGAGAGAGAGAGAGAATATCAGATGGGGATAGAGGCAAGTGATACCACAGAAACAAAAAGAAGATCTGTCTGTCTGTCTGTGTGTGTGTGTGTATGTGTGTATGTGTGTGTGTGTTGCTAGGGATGAAACCAAGGGCATTACACAGGCCCTGAGCCAAACACTCAGACAAGAATTCTTTTATATATTTATTTCAAGTCTTGCTCAGCAACCTATCCATTCCTCCCACAGCTAAATTTATACATATATCCCAGGCTGGGATGGGGATATCAAAGCAAAAGTCCAAGGATCAGGGGTATGGTAGGCAGGTAAGAAGGTTTAGGTAGGGACAGGAGTGGGCAAAGCCATGCAGGTTTCACATAGCTAGAGCTGGTCAGAGTTGATGATCAGACTCAGATGAACAGCATGTCAGGAACTGAGGATGTACCAGGAGTCCCAAAGCCCTTGACAGAGCAGGGCATTCTGGAAGGCAGGTTTCATAGTCTTGGCAAAGCCCACAAAATGATTCTCCTGTATGTACACAGCTTCAGTCTGGAGTAGGCCAAGCCAGGAGTCAGTTTAGCTTCAACTTAGACTTTACTCTCTGAGCTCTTCCAACTTTGGGTTTTTCCTGAGCCTTCATTCTTTTTTTTTTTTTAATTTTATTTATTATTTTTATTTTATGTGTATGTGTGTAGTATTGCCTGCATGAAATGTGAGTGCACCCGTGTTGTGCAATGCCACGGAGGTCAGAAGAGGGCTTCAGATTCCCCTGGAACTGGAGTTAAGGACAGTTTGTAGC